ATCCAAACAGACTGGCTTCCCTTCTATATGTTCTTAATCATTTAAGGTTAGCACTTTCACGGAGAAAAGAAAACTACACGTCTGATTTTGAGAGAATTAAAAGTGACTTTACCACCACCACAACACTCTTCCCAGCCTAATCCGTACAACTGAGCTTCTATTAATATATAGTTAGGAGATTGTAATCCATTATTCCCAAAAAAACAATTTTCATGCTAACATCTTACAACCACCACCACAACACTCTTCCTAGCCTAATCTGTACAACTGAGCTTCCATCACAATCTGGAGATGACGCAAGAAGTCCTACTTATAGTTAGTTCTTGCAGCTAAACTTCCTTCCAACTTGAGGCAACACCTTCAAACAAGACGAGTCCTTCCAAGGACAAAAGCTTCCTTCTTGGGCCACATTCTAACAAAAGTTTAAAACAATTAGACAAATCGATGCAATTAGCAGAGAATGCAATAGTCATCACTGGGCATAACTGATACAGAAAATGTGCACGATGCAAAGTAACACATGCCAATTCATGCACCAACATATAAACAATGTAAAGGCGTGTCAATCTGTGCATACGCCATGTGCATGATGAATGCTGCTTTGGTTAGTAGCTGCTGTGATCTAATGCAGCAGATTTGTGATTGTAATGTTCAACACATCTACAGGGAGAAGAACTGTGTTGCGGATGGCCTCGCTAATTGGAGCTACAATATGGATTTAGGGGTTTGTATGTTTGAGGATGCTCCTGTTTGGATTAGTTCCTTGTTAGCTGATGATTTGTTAGATCTCGTTTGATTTGTTCTGATGTAGGTTAGTTGGTTGTTTTCTGGGGCTTTGCCCGCCTTGTTCATAAAAAATAAAATAAAAAATTCCCCCAGTCCGTTGAAAAAGAAGTCTATGTCAAAATGGGTACTGAAAACTGGACAAAATTGCAATCAACCCCAACAAAATTCTAGTCAGTGTATCACCAGATTGAATGTCAACTAGGGATTGCCGCATTACACCAAATCATTTTCCTACTTTTTTCTAATGGATGGTTTGCTCAACAAATAGTTCGGCTAACAAGATACCCTTGTACCAAGCACACACAGGCAACAAGATATAAAAACAAACTAACCTTCAGCCAGTAGAAAAATCCACGCAAAAGATTTAAAATTCTAGGGCAGTCACTGCTAGCAGCATCAAGCTTTCTTGCTAGGACTGCAAGATTAGAAAACAAATTAATTAGATGTTAAATACAATAAAATTGAAAGAATGCAAAACTGGTAAGTTGTACACACAAGCATCTAAAACAATAAGTTTCAAAGAAACCATGGAAAATGAAACAAAAAAATAGTCATAAAAGAAATCATGTTGGAGAACACTCCCACTCCAAAAAAGATGACCTACATCTCTCTTAAGATAGCAGTCCTCATTAAATGAGCTAGAAAGCAGATGTACACAAAGGCAATGGCATTACACAAACAACAAGGCCTTACACCATCAATCAATTTACATTTTGTGTACACACAATATATTACTGAACTTTTAAGTCATTAATATTTAAACCTAAACCAGGCAATAGAAGTACATATAGTTAAGGCATAAACGCAGCAGGATTGACCCATAATGGGTCCAATCCAACTCTGGGGACCAAATCTAATAGGGCCCCAGTTCATCCCTCAAAAGGTTACAAGGAGGGGCATGACAATTCTAACTCTAGAACTTCCCAATCAACAAGAATCAGAGTTCTATATAATCTAAATATGCATATAGTGTATGAAGCATCTAAATCCTTGTACTTATGGTATTAATATGTAAACAATATAAAATATGAATCTAAAGGAAAGGATCAGACCACATTATATACCCAATGCTCAATTCAGTTCATTTAACATGTATACACGCAGTGGAGCATACAAAATCCTAGACTTCCTAAATATAAGAGAATCAGCAGCCACAAAAAAAGTTCATATTCAGCATACCCCTTATGTACCCAAAAAATGAAGAAGAAAAATGATCAGTTGCACGCATAGGAAAACAAATGCATTTGAAAGAAAACGAACCTATGTGCTGCTTTCGATATGAAGCCCTTAATTTCCCTGACACTGACCTTCGTCGGTTCAGTTGTTTCAAGAGCCTTTTATACTCTTTTTCGTCATAAGGCCGTTTAAGATCCTTCATAAGCCCCTTCCTAAACTGGGTATGACCTGTATCACAAGTTTCAACGCACCATCCACCATCTACGCCCACCTTTTTATTTCAAAGAATTAAAAGCAGAAACAACCATTAAAAAAAATATCAGAAGCCACAAATTAATAGCATGCACATGTGTGCATGTGTGTATGTGTGCACGTGATAGCATAAACTAGAAAAACAAACCAAAGCTGAAACAGGGAAGATGCATACAACTGTAGATGAGGTAAAATACTCATCGCATGGTTCTTTCTTAATTTCTACAGCTGAACTCTCCACATCCTCCTCAAATGCACATGCCACTGGTCCAGCAGTTGTAGGTGTATACACCCACTTTCCACCGTATTTTCTTAGACCATTTAGAACCTCTTGATAGTCCAAGTCTATTTGATCAGACACAGCTCCATGGTTGTGTCCATGCTCGGCCAAATGAGGTCTTTTAACAGGATGCCCCTTTGTCCTACTATCTGCACCTTTCTTATTTACTTTCTTCTTCTTCACACGAGAACTTTTTAAAGTTTCTCGAGTAGTGGGAACCTCTAAATCATGCATTTTATTAGAATGCCCTTTTGTCCTATCGGAAACAGGATCCAGAGCTTCCACTTTTATTTTCTTCTTAACCCCTAAACTCTTTTTATTTGGCAGACCCTCTGAATCTTCCAGAATTCCCCTTGTTTTTTTCCTCATAGCATACCTAACAGTTCTTGGGCTAGCTTTTTTTATTTCAGTCTTCTCTTTCACATGAGATATTGATGTAGGACACGGGTAAATTGTCTTTCTTTTGTAAACCCTAATGGGTTTGACAAATATGTCCTCATCAGATTTTTTCACAGTTTCTGGGGTATCTAAATTGGTCTCGTCTAGTTCCCCATCTTCTTGTTCATACTTTATCTGCTCCAAATTCTCATTCTCTCGACCAACCACCAATACATAGGACTTTCCATCTTCCTTCAGATTTTCCAATAATATCTTATACTGAGGATCCACATCATCATCAAAATCATCCCCATCCACAGACCTACCATTTAGGTTGACATCACCATGATCCATCAACTGAGCATTAGAATGAACATTCCCATCGGCATGAACTATCCACCTAGTGTCATGATAATCTTGACCATCATCACCACCATGCAGATCTAAACCCTCAAGGAACACATTATACTCCTCATCCAGCATTTCATCGTCCACTTGGATGGTATAGTTTCTTCTTTTCTTCGTGGCACTGATCCAGGAATTGGGCTCATAAATCCTATCATTAGCTACGCACTTTCTCTTCCTCCACCTCGCCAGCCTCATGTCATCCTCACAATCTCCCTTATAATCCTTCTTTAAACTGTTAAGCTCTCTTATCCCCTTACAGGGCGCCATTTACCAACAATCAGCACAAAAAACCCTCTTCGCTTCTGTTTCAAAACACGTAGAAACAAAAATTATAAATTGATAATGCAAATATCAGAGCATGCATTGTAACCCACAATTCTGTAATGTCGATCGAACAGAAAAACCCCGTTTGGTTTCTGAGAAAATACAGGAAATGAAAAGCCAGTGACGATCCCAATTCCTACACTTTCTTTGAACAAAATAACAAAAACCCATCATCAGGAAACCTTAAACAAGCAGTAAAGTTTAACACTTGAAGTTTATCACAATAAAAATATATAAAAAGATTTTCCCGGGTTTTCTCAGGAACCAAAAGGAGGTCTTGGGCTGAGAAAATACGGGAAAAATAAAAACAACGAAGATCCCAAGTTTTACACTTTCTTTGAACAAAATAACAAAAACGCATCATCAGTGAGACACAATAAACAAACATTAAAAACAGACTTTAACATTAGCGCAATAAAAAAGTAAATAACTTTCCCGTGTTTTCTCAGGAACCAAAGGGGGTCCTGGGATGATATTTCTTACCTAAACCCCAACGAGGATTCCGTCGAGATCGAGTTTCACAATGAACCATAAGGTAAAGCCAGAAGCATCACTGCACTTCGTGAGCTTTGGGGACTTGAGTCGACTGGCGGAGGCCTCAATAGAAATGACTGATAGTGGGAGTGAAAGAGCAAGAGAGACTGAGACACGGGAGAGAAAGAGAGAATGCAGACTCGGGTTTTAACTTTTGTTATGGGTTATTTCAACCCGGTTGTAACTTGTAACAATAAGATCATTTTGACCATTCACTATCGGACTTCTATTAAGAGTCAAAACTTTCGTTGGCTCACTCATCAGTGGGCTAAGGTCTTGAACTTGGACCCAAGATTATCATCTCACAAAAAGAAAAGAAAAGAAAAGACACAAATTTGTCCTCTTCTTGTTAACGAGACTTCCGGAAACGTCGAGAATTGTTCCGTACGCTAGGGCCTACGGTGTGTGGTGAGCCTCTTCTAATATCTTCATACACGTGGCCTAATTCAGCGGATCACTGGATCTGATGAAATGGGGACCCACAAGATGCTTTGGATGGAAAAGAAAAGTAACGTGTCACGCATTTAGCGAACATAAAAAAGTACTCTCTTAAAACTTCGTTCCTAGTAGAAAAAATAAAACAAGAAAAATGAATCTTATATTGTAAACGGACACTACACAAATAATTGCTTGGATTAAAAAGTCTCGGTTTTAATCTTATCTAATTTTAGGGTGCATTTTTGCTCACCACTTTAACTATAGGTGTACCCTCACCACCCTCCTCAATGCTTGACACGTGTCCATAGACATAACTATGATTCCATAAATACAAAGCAAAAGTTAACTATGATTATGTCTATGGACACGTGTCAAGCATTGAGGAGGGTGGTGAGGGTACACCTATAGTTAAAGTGGTGAGCAAAAATGCACCCTAAAATTAGATAAGATTAAAACCGAGACTTTTTAATCCAAGCAATTATTTGTGTAGTGTCCGTTTACAATATAAGATTCATTTTTCTTGTTTTATTTTTTCTACTAGGAACGAAGTTTTAAGAGAGTACTTTTTTATGTTCGCTAAATGCGTGACACGTTACTTTTCTTTTCCATCCAAAGCATCTTGTGGGTCCCCATTTCATCAGATCCAGTGATCCGCTGAATTAGGCCACGTGTATGAAGATATTAGAAGAGGCTCACCACACACCGTAGGCCCTAGCGTACGGAACAATTCTCGACGTTTCCGGAAGTCTCGTTAACAAGAAGAGGACAAATTTGTGTCTTTTCTTTTCTTTTCTTTTTGTGAGTATGAGCAACAAATTAAAAAATTAAAAAAATTCGAAATTTGAGCTTCGTTAATCGGTACTTCGCTTCAGTGACAGGAAGTTGCGAGAAGCCTCTTCACCTCACCTCATAAATCTCCACATCTTTTCTCAATTCCCACTCAAAGTTTCTTCTTCCTTCTCCAACATTTCAAGGCAAGCTCCTTTTCCTTTTCTCAATCCGAAAATCCAAACCCACTTCACTCTCACAAACTCCACAACATCAACGATAAGCAGCTTTCCGAGCTCCACCAATGGCGTCCGCGACCTCCTTTGCTTCTGGGGTCGGTCTTCCTCTTCCCCAATCGGTTTCTTCCAAATGGTGCAATAAAGCTGCTATCTTTGCTCGCCCACACCTCTCCCTCCGCTTCCATGCCAGACCCGAATCCTTCAGGGCCTTAACTTCGCGGCAATTGAGCCAAAACGGTGCGTTCCGAACTGGGTTGCGGAGAAATAGTCGGAGTTCGAGGCCTTTGGTTGTGCGCTGCGATGCTTCAACTGGGAGGGTATTGTATATTTTCTTTTTCTCATGTTGTTTAGCTTAACGGACTGTTGGGTTTTTTTTTTTAAATTTTGCTGTAAAAATTATGTATATGACGGGTTTTGGTATTGATGGAGTGACAGATTACACAGCAGGACTTTACAGAAATGGCATGGCAATCGATTGTTTCGTCTCCAGAAGTGGCAAAAGAGAACAAGCATCAGATAGTGGAGACTGAGCATTTGATGAAAGCACTTTTGGAGCAAAAGAATGGCCTTGCTCGTCGCATTTTCTCCAAAGCTGGGATCGACAATACCCGTCTTCTTGAGGCAACTGATAAGTATATTCAACGCCAACCAAAGGTATTTGCCATTGGTGGTCTCTGTAATCCTTAAGCACATAAAGTTAGTTATTTATGACCTTGGCATTGCTTGTCTTACTGTAAAGTTTACTAATTGAGATGGTAAGAGGATAAGTTAAATGTCTTAAACTGCAGTAGATTACTGGCTGAGGATAGATGTGAGCTGCAGATACAACCTTAGATTTTGATCTGTTTGAGATTGCTGTTTCTAGAATTGACCAAGGCTCTCTTATAAATTATAAGCAGGCACCCAAAATATTAGTTATTAATTGATGCACAATCATTTGACATAAAATTATGCTTTTAGAGGCCCTTAAAGAGCATGATGGAAGTGGAGTGACGTTTTCATCATAGTTTTAGACAGCCTATGAGATCCTAATATATGCAGTTGACTGGTTTGGCTAGATCCTAGATACATTCTCTACACTTGTGGAAAACCTGGTTAACTTGTGTCCGTCTCTGTTTAATTAAAACAGGTTCTTGGTGAATCTGCGGGCTCAATGTTAGGACGTGACTTGGAAGCCTTGATTCAACGAGCCAGGGATTACAAGAAAGAGTATGGGGACTCATTCGTCTCTGTGGAGCATTTGGTTCTGGGTTTCACTCAAGATCAACGATTTGGGAAGCAATTATTTAGAGATTTTCAAATATCCAAGCAAACTTTGAAATCTGCTATAGAATCCATACGGGGACGCCAATCAGTTATTGACCAAGGTTGCAATGTGTTTCATTACTTTTTATCATTGTAGAGGATGTTTTTTGTGTATACATGTGCTGCTTGATCGAACAATGCAAAGTGGGGAAACCAAAAGCAGGTTTAGTGTTTAGTGTTCCAGTCTTCTCATGGTGCTTGATAGCAATTTCAGTGTATGATCGTTAGCTGCCTTTTCAATCTATTTGCATGTAAGTCTGACCCTCCATTTTATGTTGCAGATCCCGAAGGAAAATATGAAGCACTTGAAAAGTATGGAAAGGATTTGACAGCTATGGCAAAGGCAGGAAAGCTTGACCCAGTAATAGGAAGAGATGATGAAATACGCAGGTGCATCCAGATTCTCTCCAGAAGAACAAAGAACAACCCGGTGCTGATTGGCGAACCAGGTGTTGGAAAAACTGCAATTTCCGAAGGGTAAGTACCTGGTTGTTTGCCTGTGCGTATGTGTCATTGAGATAGGGATGTCTTTGAACAACTTTTGGTTTTCTGGATACACAGCTAGCCACTTCTAGCTTATCTTATCTGTGATCTTATAGTTATTCTTGTTGTTTCTGGTAGCCGTATTGAACTTCTAAAGCTAGTAAAAGCTTAAAGATTAATCTAATTTTCTTCATATGTTAAGCATTAATGTTATGTTTAACATGATTAATCTTAATACTAGTAGTAATACAGTTGAGTATGAGATGAGTACCGAGTTTTTACACTGGCTTTCATTAATATGGAAAATCAAATTCAGGCTTTATAGATAAGTTTGTTAGGATGCCTCTTAGTGACTTATTTCTTTATTGGGCACATCAATCTAACTCAACTTTTCAACAGGCTTGCTCAAAGAATTGTGCAAGGGGATGTCCCGCAAGCTTTGATGAACCGTAAGGTGTGTGCTCTATCTTGAGTTTGATGCCCCATACCAGGAACTGTGTTTATTTACATGACCTACTTCGCTTGACAGCTAATATCCCTTGACATGGGTTCACTAATTGCTGGGGCAAAATATCGTGGAGAATTTGAGGATAGGCTGAAGGCAGTACTCAGGGAAGTAACAGAATCAGAGGGCCAGATAATCCTTTTTATTGATGAGATCCACACAGTTGTTGGGGCAGGTATTCATTTTCTATTCTCATATTCATATATATTGGCAGAACAAACTTTAATCCTCAATCTTTAGAAAGCATCAGTGGAGGCTTCACCAATTGTTATTTGTTCAGGTGCAACAAATGGTGCAATGGATGCTGGCAATCTCTTAAAACCTATGCTTGGTAGGGGAGAGTTGCGGTGTATAGGTGCAACAACACTGGATGAGTATCGTAAATACATTGAGAAAGATCCAGCATTGGAGCGTCGTTTCCAGCAAGTTTATGTTGATCAGCCTACTGTGGAAGATACCATTTCAATACTCCGGGGACTGCGTGAAAGATATGAGTTGCATCATGGAGTCCGCATTTCTGATGGTGCACTCGTGGAAGCTGCGATTCTCTCAGACCGTTACATTAGTGGGCGATTTTTACCTGACAAAGGTAATACCATCACAATGTATTCAACAACTAAACATTTGAACAATCTCTGCTTCAATTAGAAACTGATCTAAGAAATTATATGCAATTAATATCTTAGCATTTACATGTTACATAGAATGCTAATGTGTGCCCTACAATTGCAGCTATTGACTTAGTTGATGAAGCTGCTGCTAAATTGAAAATGGAAATTACATCAAAGCCCACAGCCCTAGATGAGATCAACCGTTCAGTGTTGAAACTTGAAATGGAGAGACTATCTCTTACAAATGATACAGACAAAGCTTCTAAAGAGAGACTGAACCGCCTTGAGGCTGAGTTGTCTCTCTTAAAAGAGAAACAAGCTGAGCTGGCTGAGCAGTGGGAGCATGAAAAATCAGTCATGACTCGCATTCAGTCAATTAAGGAAGAGGTATGTACCAATACTATACACATGTTTTCCTTATTGTGTTTCTTTTTAATTTAAAGCCCTGTTTCTCTTTCTAATACTGTTTTCTTAGATCAGTCATCATGACATTTTCTTTTTCTTTTTTTTCTAAAAAGAAGAAATCCAATTAGTAATTCAAGTGGGAGGAACATACAAGTTTCCAAGTCAAACAATTACTAATTAATTGGTGAAAATTGAAAATCAGAAGATAATGGGGTAAGCTTTGAACGATGTGGCTAATAAGTAACAAGTCTGTGTTATGTTTCAGATTGACAGGCTAAATCTTGAGATCCAGCAGGCTGAACGAGAGTATGATCTCAACCGGGCTGCTGAGTTGAAGTATGGGAGTCTGAATTCTTTGCAGCGCCAACTTGTTGGTGCAGAAAAAGAGCTAGATGAGTA